AAGCAAGTGTGACAACGCTTTACTAAACTTTGCAAAAGGGGACATCTGAAGAGGACTCAAATATTAACGAGTTACTTGTTGCGGTATGGCGGGAGTTAGATTAGAGCAGAGTATCAGGACAGGAGGTGGCCGAAAGTTGGTGAGAAAATTAACTTTGATTTTCTCTTTCCCGAGTTGTACTTTGGTGTTAAGTCTGGCAAAACTCACTAACATTGCAGACGAAATGTCTAAGGATGTACCAAATCCACAGCCAAAAGCTGTGAATGATCATAATTACTATAGCAGAGGACTTTGGACGAGGTGCGTCTAACTAGGTTTTCTCGACATGAAAAAGTTGTGAAAACGAGATAAGTCTACTACTATTCATCGATAGGAGACTGCGAACAAAACCGAATCCATGACGCCTTGGCCTTCATTCCATTAACCTATTCAAGCCGTATTGTCAAGTTATGCTATCACTCCTGGGGGCATTATCATCTGGACATAGTTTAATGATATTATACAGAAGGGCCCTATTTAAAAGTTAGGAGAAACTTATTATATGGAGAGGAATAAATTATTAGAGTTGATAGATATTAAATCAAGGCTAAAGTGGGATTTAGGCAGGATTCTGATCTCAGAAGGTTTCCCAAAACATGCGAATATGACCGACAGGAAATCACCAAAGATCACGAAAGATCCTGAAAAAATGGCAAAATTTGTATCTTAAAACTGGCACAAGCGTCATAAAAAATCTTGTGGAACTTATTAATAACTCTCAAAATCTCCCTGAGGCGACTAATCTGGAAAATGAAGTAGAAATAGTCCTAATAATATTGACAGATAAGGAATAAACAAACAGGAACAGATGAGCCAGGACACGTAGGATTTTACAAAAAAATCAACAATTAGCTCTTAATGTGGATAGGGGGGATTCACAGCTATAATGGACAGGAAGAATATACTACAAAGATAAAACTTAGATCATGAGAAAAGACCACGATTCGAGAAGTTAAGTAGGACCGAACTATGAACTTAATGCAACCCTACATGACACGTTTGAAGATATGAGATAGAAGAAATCTCTAAATTGAAAATAAATTCATTAATACGAAAAAATGAATGATCAGCGAAATCCTTCGGATTAACGAAGATGCGCACAGGGTTACAACTGCTAGGACTGTTAGTCACAAGCAAGTATGGAACAACACATAAGTTGACGAATTTTAGTCTTTTTAAATTTGAGAAATTAAACGAGAGGTAAAAAGACAAGATAAGTATTCGTATGCATTTTTTTAAAGGATCATGAGACTAAAAGGAACAAAATTACTTGTAAGTTTTGATATGATTTCTATGGAGAAAAGGCAATAACGGTGCTGTTGAGAATCATAGACAGAAACGAGGATATCAGAGAAGTAGAAAGGTTCAGGGGAAGTCGTTAAAATGACTAATCAATTTGACAATAAGGATTGCCTACTTCATATTTAACAACAATATATATGAAAAATAATTTCACTTTCTATGGGATCGACGTTCTTACCTCTTTCGGCAATCATATACATAAACAAATTAGAGGATGATTTCAAAACGTCACTACTGCAACCAAGAGTGTTCATGCGATGCCTGAATAATTGCTTCACACTTTTGTCGCATGCAAGGGTAAAATAAGAAGAATTATTAAAGTTTAAAACCATAATGCTGAAAGGATGTCGAAATCATTCGTCTGAACGGGACACTCAAGAAAGAAGTCATATGCCGGAATAATACTCAACTTCTAGTCTTATCACAACTACAGGCTGAGGATCAAAATAATGATGAACATGATAATCTGAAGCATACTATTAGCGGACGGTAAATTCTAAAATGAAGCATAAGAAAAAAGTGACTCTAATGTTCATTGGAAACTGATGACCGAGAAAAGCAATACAAAGAAGCATAAGAGCCGTGAAAAGCGGATGGCAGGACGGGAATAATGAAAGACAAATTAAGATGGGGAAAGACACACAGAAGTGTATATGCCTAATTTTCGGCAGAATAACTAAATACTAGGACTAATATTATGAAAATGGAATATACCTGATAACACTAAGGAAAAACAACTCTTTGCAAGTTATTTGACCTTTTTTTCGCAACTTGGTCATATTGGTAGGAAGACCTAAAGGAACACACCTAATCCGAAGTCCATTGTCGGCATGATCATTTCCAAGGTTGAACCGTGGATGTGGTACATTCCCAAACGTTTTGCCGGCATCGTCAGTGAGTATCGCTATTCTTGGCACCACACAACAACTCGTCAAAGAGGCCTGTGAAGCCGATCCTTTGACCAAACGTGTGCTAAACAATTGTGGTATCTCCCGTTCTGCCGGCGAAACGTTTAGGAATGTACCACGTCCACCTTTCAACTTTGGAAATGATCATGCATACAATGGACTCCGGACTAGGTGTTTTCCTCTAAGCCTTCCTAACAATATGACCAAGTTGCAAAAACAAGTTCAAACAACTTCTATACAACGAAAGAAGACTGCGACCACACAAAAGGCCACACCATCTTGG